TTTTGAATATACTTTCAGGATACTTCAAAGAATTTAGATGTTCAAAGAAAAAACACTTAGATGTGTACACCAGCAAATACCATCAATTGAGCTTGTGTTAACAGAAAAGACAAAAACGATATCATTGCAGATTAAAGTGAAGAGCTACTTGTTTTAGACTATACGGTTGTATAAATTTAAATTACGTTATAGAACATCATATCGTATCATAAATGGAGAATCCCATGATTTTCTCAGTCGAATTATTTGAAGATTCAGGAGTTTATCCAGTGATGTATGTGGATGTCACTTAAAGATGTTTTTTTTCCCCTCCTGATGAAACAGCGGTCGAGCGGTAAATCGCTCAACACTGGTAGTTCTGTCCGAGGTTCAAATCCCATGAACGGGCTGGCTGCATGGGTGTTTTCGTGGTTTTCCCCATGTGTAACGTGTATGCGAGCAAGTTTCCCTTAGAAAGTGCTCCACGAAGGCATCCCTTCCCTTAGGCAGATAGCCCTAGTGTGCTTTGTCATAATTAACCTCTTGATGAATCTCATACCTTCAAAATATTTAGCCTCTAAAGACTTATAAAGGCTCTGACCAAATAATGATGAAATGGATTGAATTGAATTATTAAATTACAGCAAAGCAGGGCGATCTGCCTAAAAGGAAGGATGGCTTCATGAAGAACTTTTTAAGGGAAACCAGCTGGTATATACGGTACACATGAGAAAATCCACGAAAACGCCCATGCAACAAGCCCGTTTATCGGGATTCGAACCCCGTGAGTGAACTACCAGTGTTCAGCGACTTTACCGCTCATCTGTTTGTGGGCCTTTATGAAATTGAAGGCGATAACTTTATTTAAAATGATTGTCAGAAATACCAAGATATTTCGAAAAGTTGGATGCTTTTTAATATACTTGGAGAAGGAATGCCTAAAGAAAAAGAGCAAGAATAAAGTAGAATGCCTGAAGAAAAAGAGAAGAAAAAATAATTTTTGCGTAAATTTAGTATTTGTATTTTTTTTTTTTTTTTTTAATTTAAAAACCTTTTTAATCTTATGCTATTTTATTCTTGCGATTTCAAAAATAAAATACTTGACTAAAATATGAATAACATTTTAAGAAACCAAATGTAGGATAAAATTGTATAAAGCAATGGGCACAATGATGAAACTGTTTAAAGCAGTGTATGCAAGTCATCCTAAGTTAAAATGTCGGTTATACATCTCTCTTATTTATATATATCTTTTCTGAACGGAACATTGATAGGCGTGTTAATTGTGCTTTACTGTATTTTCTCTTTTAATATATGCATCGTAGTCTGGGTTCACAAAGTATTCTTCCGAAAGAAACGCAATTCAAATAAATAAAATCAAATTCTGGAAAATTTATATTAATAAATATGTTTAAAATGCTCAGTTCGAAGGAATAAATAGAAAATTTTAAAGCAATTATCTGAAGAGACAATGCAACACAAACAATTAAAATAAAAGTATAAAAATTAAAAAATTACCTAAAATAATAACTATGACAAAAAATATAGTATAACGAAAACTATAAATGCTGCACCTTTATTTACGCAGTTCGAATAGATAAATAGAAATTTTTAAAACAGTTATTCGAAAAAAACATGCATCTTTAACAATTAAAATGAAATTCGGAAAAGAAAAAATTACTTAAAATAATAACAGTTATAATTAAAAATATAATATAAAGAATATTATTTGGGAAAAAGGAACGATGGTGACTTTTTTTCCTCTCATGGGAAAGGAAACTGGGTTGCCATATATTAAGAAGTTTGCCAAGGGAAATATTCTTGCCGCAAATTGAAAAACAAGTGCCAACATAAATTTGGGAATTTCAAAAAACAAAACATTTCAACAAAAATTTTGCTCCAAATTTTACAAAATTTCATATTTAGGCGTAAAATTTTGACAGCTAATTTTTTAAAAACTACTTGTACGATTTTTACAAAACTTGGAATTCTGGCATAATTTGAGCCGCAGAATTGAAATATGGAAAAAAATTGGTATGTTATTTCAGAAAAGTCCGATTTTGTGTCAAAATACCTATGTTTGAATAGTGCTATATATAAATCTAATATATATCCTAAGTCGCGCTTTCGAGACATGAAGAACGCAATTTGAATTTTGTCAATCGGCCCAGTAGAATGGGAGATATAGAACTGTCCCATTTTTCTTTTTTGAGCAGTGTACATTAACGTTGCCTGGAAAGAGAAAATTACATTTATAACTAATGAAAACTAAATGCAAACTTCTTGTGTACAAAAAAAAAAAAAAAAAAAAAAGTTTGCAATAGTTAAAAATATTTGGTGTATTTGCACCATCAGAGCCAGGAAAAGCAAGGCCCGAACTCATAATACAAGCTTCTGGTATAAGCCTGAATTTTCTAACCTCAGCGCTAAGGTGTCTTGCATGGAAAGTTGGTTTTAAAATTTTCACCTTCAGGAAACTGAATAAGTATTTGCGCTACTCTTAAAGTAGCGATAAATTTTTTTGTAAACATTTTTTTTTAATACCAACTCCATTACAACAATGTCTCTGGTAACACCTGAATTCACAATCTTTGACTCTGAAAGCCATGATTTTATCCATTAGGCAACAGAAGCAACCTTAAATTGATGCAGATTTTAAGTAAAATTCAAAATCTAGGATTTTAAAATTCATTACTATTTTCTTGTAACAATCTACTGCTTTAAATTATTGTGTAAAAATTATCAGCCATATATCATTATGGATGATAATTATGGTTTATTACTCCTGGTAAAACGTTGAGAATTTTTGTTTAAATAATTTATTAAAATATTAACTTGTTCATTTTTAATTAACTTCTGAAATTTTTACCAAGATTAATCCATTTGACTTCAAGAAGAATTTTTGAGAGTATATTCATTTAAAAACTGTGGTATAAACTGGACATTCGTAACGACATATTTGAAACTGATGTGGCAAGCGGCAAAAAGTTGAAGTTCAGTCAACTTGCACAGTCTCCGCTCTTCCAAAAAATACCACCTCTGAGCTCGTTTCTGATTGGTCAACGCTTTCCTCCCCGAACGTGTGATCATGTTGGTGTGAAATGGCCTTTACCCTCATTGGAAATGTAGGAATATGACTCTGATGAATATTGAATTGATTCCAACAACGAAGATTTTGAAACTGAAGCTAATTCAGTTCATAACAGACTTGATCAGCATGAGTTGAATGATTTGTCACAAGATTTGGTACTATCTAAAAAGCTTCAGAGCTGTTAGCATCAAGACTACAAGAAAAAAAACCTGCTTGAAAAAGGAGCTAAAGTATCCTACCTTTGATGCATATTTTGTATACTTTTGAGACGAAGACATGGTATCTTATTGCTTAAAAAGACGACATTATAGACAAAAATTGAAGTTATTTTTGGATTAAGAGGACAAAAGTTTGTCAAAAACAAGTGACAGAACTAAGACAATAAAACTGCTATTTCCCAGTGTAACTAGAGTAATCTATAATCCAGATGTATAGCTTCATAAACCTGCTCTCTTCCTTTTAAGAACTTTTCTTTTTATCAGTATAGGAATGGAGAGTTTGATACTCGAGAGAAAGCAAGTGTGCCATAAAATAAATTTCCTCCTAGTGAACTAATATTTCTCATTAAATATATATATATATATATGAAGGGCTTGCAGCAAGAAGGGCCTAGCTCCACATTTTTAAATTTTCAGAAAATGAAAAAAAATTTCCAAAATTCATTTTTTAACTTAGGTTCTAAACCTTTGTCTTCATTAAAAGTACTAGTAAAAATGATTTTTTTATGGCTACTTCTCTGACCTTGTACTCCAATTTTAAAGAATGATTTTATTTTTTTAAACAAAAAAGACCCATGAACACAAAATCTACAAAGTGGAGCTGGGCTCTTCTTGCTGCAAGTCCTTCAATTATTATCCACAACAATATTCAATCATCTCGCACGATGTTTTCCCTTTAAACGCCTGCCAGCCATTATGGAAGAAAAGGATCTATTTCCACCATGAGTGAACCAAATTTGCTATCAAGATATCATCAGTTCTGTGCGAATTAATTCAATACAAAACCATATGCACATGACAATATGTCATACAGCAATAATAACATAAACACTATTCATTTTAACCATCCGAGCATTAAGGGTTTTGCTCTGAAATTTCAAAATTCCCAAAATCTCCCGAATAAGTGATATTTTCTTTATTGTAATTCCAAAATGACTATCTCACTTTGTACCTTGACTCTTTTTCATCCAATATTTATCATAATCGAAGTCAGACTTATTAGGATCTGGCAGAAATTCTTATGTGCAAAGAATAGGAAAGCCATCCTTTGATATGGAATTTTACATCTTTAACCCTTGGGTGGTTAAAACATTAAATACTTTCTGCTGTAAACTCACCATTTTTCAAATGGAAATCATATCTACTGCATGATGTGTCACAGGAAAATTCACATATGTGAATTTCAAAATAAAAAATATTCTTGCTTTATATGAATATCAAAAACATGTGCAATCCAAAACTTAGAAATTACACGACTTCGAATCCTGATGAAACATTTATAATAGCCATGTACTGTTTATTTTTATTAAATGTAAAGGAATTGTAAATAATGAAACAGAAAATTAAAAGAAATATAACAATAATATAAATGATGTCCACATAAACAAAAAAATACAAATTTCTACATTTTTATGAGCAAGAAGGAAAAGTACAGTCTTGTTTCACTTTTTCATCAATCTAAGAATAACTTCCAGTTGAACCAGTATCTAGTATTGAAATAAACTCTATGGAGATATACGCACTCAAAATAATATCCTAATAAGTTTTTCATTTTGCTAATCAACTAATTCAATAAATAAATTTTATAACACAAAAACAAACATTAGCAATTTTTAATATTATGAAACACATTAACTTGTATTATTTAATAAAAATTATTAAATTATATTAAATTTTAACACAATATTAGTAAAAAAAATTACAAAACTCACTTCTCATAACAGTTCTAATTGAATGAATTAGATTCATTAGCTGGCCTTTTACTCCAGGTTCTTCTCCAAATGCACGACTCTGATCTCTTCCCCATCCAACTACAACAAATCAATTTACACATGTTTCATATTACTTGAAATTAATAAATAATAATTAAGCATGTAATTTATCTGTGTGCATGGTATTTATGGCATAATTTATGTAGATGGAGAGATGCTAAAAAGTGAATACTTTTTTATGAAATTGGGAAAAGTTTCTCTGAAACATTTAACTTTATAAATAGTATCTAATTAACAGTTGAAATGCAGTTACTATTTTGAAATGCAAACACATTTAAAAATTATTAATGGCAGCTTTTCATATGCAGTCATCAGTTTTCATACAACTGCTAACAACAATGAAAGTTTTTTGTTGAAAGAAATATTGCAAATTTATTCACAGAAGTGGCCACATAAGCCTATTTTTAATAATGAAAGGTTTTTCAGTGAGTCACCATTAACACTGGATTATGGAGAAGATGTAAATCCAACTACATAAAACTGACAAAAAAAAAAAAAAAAAAAAAAAAAAAAAAAAAAAAAAAAAAAAAAGAGCTCAGATTAGTGTAGGTTTTATATGAAATGACATATGCCCTTCGTATTGAAGGAGCAAAAATATTATGCATTAGTCAAAAGAGCGGTGCAGATATATGGATGACATATAATAGCATACATGTTCCTCATATACCTATATATATATTTAATGTAAAAGAATTTCTTAATTGAAGATACTGCACAAGTGGCTAAAAAAGTGTAGTTATTCATTAATAAAATACTGAAAATCCTAATTATACATATAATGTTAAAAGAACTCTGTAAAGAAAACACTGATAAAGGGACCAAATTTTATTATTAAACTATTTTATATATATTTATAATATTATTTTATTATAAACATTGTACACATAACTATTTATTAACAGTTATGTATACAACTATTAATTAAATAGTTATGTACAATAAATATCTTCTAAAAATATTTATTGTACATAACTAATATATATTTGGTACATTACTATGTGATACAACAATGAATCAAATTAAAATCATACATTAAATCCTGAAAGAATTCTGTCAATACTAATGAAATTAAAGAAATAAAAAATTTAATAAAATCATGCAATCTCTAAAATATTCTGCACAAAAGAAAATCTGGTTACTTATCTATCATTCTGCTGACCGTGAAAGTTGGCAGAGAATTGTTAATCATTCCTTTGGAATTCTGAAACAACCGACTCCTATGTAATGAACAATCAGTATTTGACCTGCTTCATGTTTGCACTTTATAAAAAAGCTTTCAGCAATTTCTACTATTTTGTTAGACCTTCTGATTTTACTGGAATCTCTTTAATAATAATATGAGCACAAATTTCCTGCAGATTATTGTTCGAATTTATCACTGTTTTGTCAGCCATATTCAGCTAACAACATCATATCCATTAACACACACTTTTTTCGATGACAGGATCCCATAACTTTGAAATTAATTAATTCAATGCCTGATGTTCTGTAAAAGGTTGTTCCCAAATTTTTCTTTCTTTCTTTATTTATTTTTCAAAATGCAAGGAAAAATAGAGCAATAACAAAGAAACACAAAATATGACTTATTGAGAATCCTTTGGGTTTACATCAAACAAAAGCACATACGTCATAAGTGTATCATTATATCTCATTAATCCCACATTGACTATAAATCACTCTGCTTGGTTATATAGTTTCACGGCAAATGGAATAATACGTAACTATAAAAATCCCTTATGCAAAAAATCCCTATGGCATCATTTCTAATAGTTATACATTTCTAATCTTTTGTCTATTATTTGAAACACTAAACACAATGTTTAGAAAAGCATGAGTAAAAAATGTCAACTAAAAATGCAAAAAATAAAATACCTTCTTCAATACAAAAGCTGCTTTCTTAAAAATGGTCTGAATATTACACAAGGGTAATTTCTATAAACAGTGCAATATTATACCCAAAAGTTTTTAGTGTAGACGGTCTCACAACAGCTGAAAATTAGGGCATTTCTCCATCATCCAGCTAATGGTGAGAAGAATCACTGGCCAAAGCACAATGTAACCAAAGTGGGCAACCCAGAATATAACAAACATATATTTTATCTGCCAACCCAATTTGGTTTGAGAATAGTCAAATATCATTTACGACTAATTTTTGTTTTATTGCATGTCTAAGTATAATACTGGTAAGTTTTATCATTCTTGCAGTTGTCTCGGTATGTCTCCAAATACAACTACTGATTGATGCAATTATCTGCGAGAAGGATGCATGTTCTAGTATGGAAAAAGAAGAATGTCAAAGAAATTGTTTTTTTACAAATAAAAGTAATTTTTAATATTTAAGGTTGATGTGAAAGCACTAACATACTGCTGTGTGATGCTGAGAATTATGCAATTCTCTGATTCTTTTTTTTAAAGTATATAAGATTATTATCCACACAGACCAAGAAAAAGAACCAAAAAAGTTTACAGTTTTATTGTGGATGTTTGCGGCATTTTTAGTTTAGTTAATTTGTTACTGTTTTATGAAATTTTAATTGCTTCATTCAAGATGTTTGTTTCATGTAATTTTTACTGTTTTAGGGATGTTTCTTGCATTTGCATTCTTTAATTCATTGTTGTAGAATTATTTTCCAAATAAATTGTTTTTTTCTTCCTATATACCTGGACTTATATTTAAAGAAACATCGATGATCACATAGCTGGCAACACTATTTTTGTCATTACATAATGAAGTAAAATATATATCTAATAGTATTATATGTGAAGAGTGGGGATAAAGTGTATTCCAATATTTTGAAGGTTGCAATGCCAAAGACATTTTTCATAAATTTTCCTCACAGAATTATTGTACTAGAAATGTGTGTTCAAGAGAAAGAATAGGTAACCAATGTTGAATGTCATTTGTAGAAGTAAATACCTCTAACCTTTGAACATCATCTGAACAATGTAGCTTAATATAACAAGAAAAACATCAAAGAATTCAGTGTTTAACAAAATCTAATACACTACAAAGTCCGTAATCCGGACTCGTCGGGACTTCGGCAATTCGGGATTATACATCATCAATTTAAATCTGGTAAGATGACATACAGAAATTACAAAAATTAAAAATATGAAACCGTAATTTATGAAATAAAGAGCAATTATAATCTAAAGGGTATCAAAACTTACAACAACAACAACAAACAAAAAAAAAAAAGCTTAATATTTATTTGTTTACTTTAGTAAACATTTCTATCAATTAAGTTGTTTAAGTTGCTTCGTTTTTTGTGCTAATACTTTCTCTTTAATTCTATAAACAGACATAATTTCTTGTTCAGTTACAAATTTCCACTGTTCAAGTCCTGTAATTGCTGTATCAAGAATACCGACTAACTTGTCAATCAAAATTTTTTCGTTTTCAATAATGTTCTCTGTAATAATGTTTCTTTGCTATTGGAAGCGTGCATGGGTAAGCGCTTTACTGGCTTTACGCACATGCATAGCGGACACATGCATCAAACGCACATGCATAAGTTTGTTGCTTTGAGGTCCAGATTGCAATAAAGGATCATTCCGGATAATGAACGTCCAGATTACAGGCTTTGTACTGTAAAAAGCAAAAGAAAATGGCACAAACTAAGCAAATTTGCTAGACTATAGTTTCGAAAATTAAATGGATGCTGTAGGAGTAAAAATGATGAAAAAATACACCACCATAAAAACAACAAAAAATCAGAGAAGTTCTAGCTCAGGGGTTTCCAATGAGGTCTGTATGAATCGCTTACGGGTTGATGGAATTTGAAATGGGGGTCTATGATAATGAAGAGCTCAGTAGATGTGCACTGGGAATGGTACAATCTAATTGGTATTCCAATGATCATAAAAAATATTAATAAAATTGATAATTAAACTTTTATTAATAAAGCCAATGCTCAAATTGTACTCGAGTCTGGCTCTAGTTCTAAATTTTGAAGTAAATCATAATTCCAGCCATAACGCACCGGTTTTGGTTTGGTTTAATTATGGCAAAACACACTAGGGGTATCTGCCTAAGGTGAGGGATGCCTTCGTGGTGGATTTTCTAAGGGAAACTGGCTCGTATACACGTTACACATGGGAAAACCACGAAAACGCCCATGCAACCTGCATGTTCGTGGGATTTGAACGTCGGACCAAACTACCAGTGTTCAGCGACTTTACCGCTCGGCCGCTGGTGGGCTTTTTTTTCCCTGTTGCCTTCTGCTTGACATGAATTGGACATTTTTTCCCCTATTGCCTTCTGCTTGACAGCTAGAATTATATCGATAGGACATCATGGTCAGAAAGTGCTGGCCTCTCTGTTTTCGATGCTCTACTTAAAATTTTCTTTCATACTCTTGTACTATTTCCAGCATTCTCTCTATTCTCATTAGTGATGCTTTCAGGGCCAGATTAAGACCTTTAGAAGCCCTAAGCACTTAAAAGAGTTAGGTGCCTCCAAGTATGTTTATTTTATGTTTTTCTTCATTCATCCTCTTCTCTTTCTCAGTTTTGGTTTAGCTGCACTATGCATTCCAAAATAAAAACAGCAATGTGAAATTTCTTAGTACCATCTTTCCTGAATACCTAAGACTTTTTTGTGGTGCAATCCCTTTCATTGATGCCCTAAGCATATGCTTATAGGGTATCCACAAATCAACCCAATTTTTGGTATCTTCATATCATGTGAAGCACTGTTCAGACAAGCCATGCATTATCAATTGAAACAAGTAGTAATCAGAAGGAGCAGTCTAGTGAATACTGTGGGAGGAAGAAAATTTCTTATTCGAGTGTTTCTGAGTAGGTTTAAACCAGTTGTGTCGATGAGCATTATCATGTGGAAGAATAATTCTGTCAGGTCTATAGTAATAGTGGGTACATTTTTCTTTGAGTGTTTGGTTCAATCTCATGAAGTGTGTTCAGTAGAGAACCCAGTAATTGTTTCTTCTTCTTGACTTAAAACTTAACTTCTTCAGTAAAAACACTATTTTACTGTTAAGAAAATTAAAAATAACAACATTATAACATAACAAGCATAA